GGTTAGAAAGTACTTTAAATATGGAGAATCAGAATATGTAGTTTTTATTTATTAATAAGCAAAATGACTGTTGGTATAGTAGTTTTAAGAATAGTTGTTTTAAATAAGATTACACTTTTTGTAATAATCCTATATTGTGTAGTGAGTCCAACAGGTAACAACCCCCAGATACTTGACTGAGGTCTCTTTCCTTTGTGCTATGTAAGTAGAATAACTATCTTGTCACATAGTATAAGACTAACTTGTTGTTTCTTTGAGCAATAGACTATCTCTTGAGATAGTAGAAAGGGTAGCTTGCCATGCTTTACCTAGACTATTACAATAGGCTATGTTAAGTATCTGTCTCTGAGGCTAGCACAATAGCCTTCAGGTCCCATGATGATGAACTACCTGTGTAGGTAATCCTTACTTGTCTTAGGTTGTCGTAGAGGAGGAGGGTATGTAAAGAGAGAAAGTATAATTGTATTGTAACTTCTAGTATAGAAAGTACTTAGATGGTTGCATGAAGAACCTATCCTCCAGGCCAGATAACAGCCCTTAAATAGGAGTCTTCCCTCATTCCTCAACTTGGTCAAGTGCTCCTTCATGTCATCTGACCTCTATGACTCATATTGAGTTATAGTGTAAAATCCATCAGCTAACCCTTCTGTGTCAACTACGTTGTGTACCTTTAACCAATTAAAACTCATAAAACGAATCATGTTCCCAAATGGGTTACATGCATAAAACCCATGACTCATAATTGCAAGTCATATGCAAACTTGAAAGTCATTACATCATCTGACTTCCCAATTGGGTGATGATAAACAATTTGGAATCCCCAAAACCCACTGCCAAAAGCTCCACCATGTGCCTGACGCAGAACTCAGCGAGCTACTCCTCGTCGCAAAGAACCTCTCCGTACCAGTCCTTGTAGTGGAGTACAACATTTTGCAAAATGATGTGGGGTTTATCAGCTTGTTGATTACGTTTATGTTCATATGGTAGGCCTCCTTATTAGGCCATGCTTGGTGGAAGGGTCTGGAGGGCTAACCACTTGGTGGTGTGGGGTATATTCCAAAACCGAATACAATGGAGGGGTTGGGGATTGAGTGGCCGGCGCAGGCTACTGATATGGATAGGTTGATAGTGCTGTTTGAGGAATTGAAGGTGGAGATTTAGACGGGACAAGGGGATAGGGTCAAATTATTGCTTTTCTGAATGAGTGGGATGCGATCGTGCCATTCAGTTGGTTTCTGTGACAATAACAGAAAGTACCTGGCTTGATATAAAAGAAAACAGTGAAGACAGCTCTAAGCCCTCCATTTATTTCTCCCCCGCGGTCCCCTCCTCCTTTCAGGCATAACCAAGCTCAGATATCCGAAAAGGAGCCTTCCAAAAGAATAGCTCTTCCGATGGCTCCGGACGTACTTCAAATAACTTCCAAAGGTCGCTTTCGATCTGTGCATGCCCCCGAAGACAGAGCTCTCGCTTACCCCCGAAGCTGATGAGGAGGAGGAAGCCATGGGGATAGCTTCCGACCGTCGAAGAGAGCCTTTGGACTCCTCTAACTCAAACATTTAGCCTTACTCGAAGAATGGGTGATATTCGAATGAGTATACCAAAATCTCACTTCGTCTATAAGAGACTGTCCAAGCTGGGGATACCACTTGTTTCCCTACCCAGCCCCTGCCTCCTAAAACCTCCCAACTCCTCCCCTCCCGGCTGCACTGGAGCCGGCACGAGTGCCCGAGACCCGCTCTCAGAGCGCTCACTAACCAGTGACGCAACTGTCGACGTCCCTTCCCACTCATACTCTTCCTCCTCACCCTCCTCCTCGCCCTCCCTCATCTCAACTATCCCAGCGGCAACTACCGTCCTACCCGAACCGCCATTGCCACTCCAATGCGCCTCCTGCCCCTCTCCCTTGCCTGTTCCCTCCCACCATACGACTGTAAGAACTGAGCGGTAATCGGGTTTCGCTTTCTTTTATTTATATCTTCTGTTTGCGTGCCCCAATACAACCTAGAGCGATCTACTCACATACCGTAATATATCAGGCAAGTGGATAAATAGAGAATCAAAAAATAAGGAAAAAAGTACCGGTACCGCACCGGTATGCTTGTACTCTAGAATACCTCATACTCACTCTACCAGTACCAGTATGGGTTGCACTGAGGCAAACATTTCTGAAGATGGTGACTGGATATTCATATCGTCGTAGCTGATCGTATCACTGAAAGCTGAGTTGTTCAATCGTGGCCATATACAGTACTCAAGTACTCGTCGTGTACGTGTCCTCTATGTGTAGAAGCTTTTCTTCTGCCTCACCTCGCTCTCTCCTTACTTTTCTCCTATCAATATCCCTCTCTCCGCTACCTTCCTTTCGCTATTCTTGGCTTATTATTTTTTCTGTTTCATCCAGTTCCTCTCTTGGTTGTGATTTCTCCCCTGTTTTTTCCAGGAACCAATTTCAAAAATGTTGAGTGAGAAAAGCAGTGGTGTGAGGGCACTAGGAGGAATTCGGGTTGGAGGAGGCAATAGGGATGGTTTCAGCTACCCCTCCTTTTCTGGGTCAATTTACGAGAACCATCACAACTACTCGTACAAAACCAGCATGGCACTCCCGCGGAAATTTCTTGGAAAAAGAACTGCTCCAAAAACCGATTCTCGTTCTCCTTCAATCCCTAAAGCCCCGGAAATGCCGACCCATCCTCAAACCGCAGCCATCCACTCCTCCTTTATTCCTATAGATAACCACTCACTTGATGAACGGTGCTGGGCACATCCAGTCAGTGTGATCAAGCTGCCATGTAGGTTGAGAAGCTTAAGCCTGGAGGAGGTTATGAGGCTTCAAGAGGCACATGAAGGCCTAATTGACATTATCGGAATTTCCCCAAAGGATGTGGAAACCTGGGAGGATGAGTACCCAGCGGTGATTGAAAATGATAACATCCGGCAAGAGTTAGTGTTCGTTACGGGGCGGGGCGGGGCGGGTTTCTGCAAGTTCTCCCCGCCCCGTTACGGCTACGGGGCGCCGCCAAACTCCCCCCTCCCCGCCCCGTCCCCCGCACGGGGGCTACCGGGCGACCCCAATTGTGCTCCCAGCCATATAATTTGGTGGGAGCAGTAGCGGGGCCCCGTACAGGGGGTGGCCAGGGCGGGGGGCCGTATTGGGCCGGGAAGGGAATGGAGGAGAAAATAGGCCCCGCCCCGGGCCAAACACCGGGGCGGGGCGGGGAATGGGGGCAGGGACCCGCAGTTTTCAGGGCCCCGGAGGCCCCGTAACAAACTCTAGCAAGAGTACAATTTTCTGAACGAACGATTTGTGATAAAATGCGCCACCCTACCCACCCATGAGGCTCTTCCCCAGTATTTTTCAAGTCACATTTTGTCTTCTCTGACGGAGCGGTTCGGGGCCAAACAGACAATGAGTTTGGTCAGGGTTGGGACTGGAATGAGTACGTGATCAAATTACTCTTTCTCTTACTGGAGCTAATAGTGCCTAGCATTCCGAAATTTTAAGGGAGACTTTTGTGGGAGATCCAAGAAAATTCCTGACGCCTACGTGAAGTTGCCTGCCGCAGATTTCCCCACGGTAGTGTGCGAGGCCGGGTGGAGTCAGGACCATCTCGCACTGATGGATGATGTGAGGTTATGGTTATTGCACACCGGGGGTCAGACTAGGCTTGTAATTGTGATTTCATTCACAGAAAGCTATGGAACAAGTGCATCAGGGGTGGGAAACAAAGGGTTCAGAGTGGGGGACGATGAACCTGGGGTGGAGGATGGTGGGCTGGGGGTGGGCCAGGAGGAGGGGGCGGAGAATGGTGAGCCGGAAGTAGAGGGTGAGCCAGGGATGCGCGGTGGTGAGCTGGGTGATGGCGCTCAGAAGAGGGTAAGCATAAGCGAAGAACAGATGGTTATAGATACTATTGACGAGACTACGGGATTTCACGACCTGATTGCAAAGCTGTTGGACCTGAACCGCCGAGGAAAGCTAAAGAAACCCTTGGTTGGCGATCTGCAAGGGAAGGTGCAAGTTTATAAGACCAGTCAAGACAATAAGGATATTACGGAATCCTTTGCAGCCACTCTGCTGCCAAGACCCACGGGCCAAGAGAATGGACCTATAGAATTTGGGATAGCATTGGAGGACCTCTTTGGGGGTAGTGTCCCGAAGGGTCATAAACCTAGAGATGAGATCAGGTTTAATTTGGAAGAGCTAGCAGAATTTGTTACGACGTCGATGATAGAAACGGAGAAGCATAGAGGCAGTGATCGTGCAGTGAAGCTTCTGAAAGGAGCTGGGGTGTGGGAGGAGAGGGAGACCTGGGCACAAGGAAAAAGAAGGAGATTAAATCCGGAGTTGGAATAGGGAAAACAGGCAGGACCGGCATGCAGTGGAGATAAAACTGTTGTTTGTTTTGCCCGATTATTCTTATGAGGATGTGATTGTGTTTTTGGCATTGGGTGAGAAGGGATGAGACATGGGGAAAAACGGTATCAAAAGCTTGTATCTATACCAAGCCTGCACAGCACAAAAGCCTTAAGTGGCTCCTCCCACTTTACAGTTGTACTACCGGTAGACTACCGTACTGATATTATTTTCCTTGCAATGGAATGTGGTAGTGACCACTTGGGGTGTCAGTGTTGTGTCGAATTTCCGCCGGGATGTGGGAGACACTGCCTCGCCAATTCCAATACCGGTACGGGATGCTGCAGCCGGGCCGCACCTTTTATCTCGGGGAACAGAATTTTGATTTTGGCGAGTACACCGCTAATCCTTTCAGAAATGGAACCTAACAACCGTTCAAGTCAAGGGATTATTCCGCCACTTCCTACAGCAAATACTTCCTCCTTTCTCCTTCACAGAAGGGGAATTTCGGCCATTCCCCCTTCTCTACTTTTTTTTTCCCAAATTACAACTACCCCGGCAAGGGAATCAGTCCCCATAAAACCAATCACCCAGCCAATTTCGCCCCCCGCCCCCATCACCGGATACGCCAGACCAAGATCACCTAATTCTTCAAATCCCACTCAGGAATCAATCTATTACTCTCGACCGATGCCTCCTCAAGCACTTTCCTCGCGCCCTCCGCGCCAACAACGGGTAAGTTCTCGGCATCCAGTAAGCCCACCTGCACCAGGACACTCGCTTGATCCCTACGCCGCAGAGTTAAAATGCGAGATCCCTCCCAGCGGCGGAAAAGCAGATAAGGCCTAAACCAACTAACCAGTAGATATGCTCATGATAGAGTTTCCCACCGCGGATGCATACGATGCTCACGAGAGCGATCTCGACAACTCGGTTCGTGGGAGCGACGCCCGGCAGCATCCAATCGATGCGGGCGTCGTGACGAAACCTCAATACAATCTCATCGACAACCCTGTCCGAGCCGACGGTCCTGGAGACCAATTTCATGGTCAAGGATGGCGGGACCAGAGGGATGAAGTGGTGCTTGTAGAAGTGATAGAGATTCTTGTAGCCTATTCCTCCGGTACCTAAATCCCATCCACCAAAACAATTAAAACTTTAAAAAAAAAAATTCAATTAACCCTATAATAACAAAAACACGGACAGGAGGGGAATAATAATTACAAGTGGGGACATGGTTAACGTAAGGCTCCTCAACCATGGTAGCCATAGTCCTGTCGACATCCTTCTCGACGAATTCGTAGAGCATATGCTCGCTCCAAATCCCCTCAAGATCAACCTCCGGCCCCACCGTCCCCCGCAACGCCGCCAGACTACGGGAATAGGCCAGGCCGGCGGCAATCCTATCATACCTCCCACCCGGATCCCCCTCCTCCGCGAAGCCCGCCTGCACACCCTCATACACGCGAACCCTAACCCCCGGCTCCGAAAGCGAGAAGGAGGCGGATGCAGGCAGGTGTATGAGTATCTTGATGCCCGGGTGGAAGCCTCTGGGCGCGCAGGGCAGCATGGGCGGGTAGTAGGCTATGACGGCCGTGAGGGACGGGAGCGAAGACGTAGCGAGGGAGAGGGCGTGAAAGGCGCTTTGACCGAAGGCGAGGAGCGCGCATTTGGTGTTCGGTTCGATGTCGTCCGTCGCGTTCTCGATTTTGCGCGCGTTGGCGAAGGGGAGGTGCAGAACGGTGTAGCCTTCAGCTGACCAGGGGGCCGTGTCGAATTGGGCCGTGTCGGTCGCTATCATGAGGGTTGGAGGGGGGCGGACGTCCATTTTTTCCGTTGAATTGCCGGTATTGGGACTGGGAGGGAGGCAATGAGGCGCTGCGATGTTGTTGATGAGAGGAAGATTGGCGGGCTCTTCAATGACTGATATTGGGTGAGTGATGGTGATGGTGTGGAGGGATGTCACGCCTTATCATCCTCGGAACAAACGATGACCCAACATCATCATCATGCATGGTCCGAATAATGGGTGACTACCGAGCTCGCTTACCTTATCGATAACGGCACAACTGCAGGATAATTGGACCGACAGCCCGGCGCACTAGGTGTGTGAAGGAAGGCAGCTGGGGAACGGAACACGTACGAGTAGAGTAATTCTTAAAATCCCAGCGAGCCCACGGAACCAATAGCCTGCTCGTGCGTATGATACTACCGCAGTTCAGCAGCCATTGCCAATCGGACCACCAGTTCCATCCCAAGAAGACCACAATCTTGGACGAGGAGACTAATTTACGAGTAGTGAAGACCTCATCTCGGTGCTCGCTGAATGTACTCGTACCAAAGTTGTCAACCTGAAGCCTTCCGAGAAGCCACTATTCCCCACACGGTGCAAAAGCGCAACGACGAATGACAAGCCATGAATCTTAGGCGACAACAGCACACACCCGACACACCCCTCACCCAAAAGGACGCCCTCACTGACTCAACTACTCGTAGACTATTTCACCGGGGGTGGAACAAAATGAGATCATTCCCCGCCGCTTCAATCAGGTCTCTCTTAGAAAATCAGAATCCACAGCATAGCCCCCCAAGAAGCAAAGCACCAACAATGTCCAAACCGACACCCCACCCGTCACCGCCCACCTCCCCACCCCGCCCGCTCTCCGGAAGCGTCACGACGACGACGACGACGACGACGACGACGACGACGGTCCCAACGGCAACGATCGCACCCTCACTCCCCCTCCGGGAGACGATAATCTCGCCCGTGGGCGACATACTGCTCCGCCTATTCACGCCCACGCACATACAGGATTACAGAACCTCGGCAAGCGTACTGATAACCACGTCCAAGATCTTCGCGGCAATGCTAAGCCCGACGTCCCCATTCTCCGAAGCCCAACGCTTCAACAGCTCGCCCTCCTCCTCGACGGATCCCTTCGTGCTGAAGCTCCACGACGACGACCCCATCGCACTCTGCATCCTGCTGAAGGCCCTGCACAATCACTCGGCCATTCCCCGGACCCTGAGCTTCAAGCAGCTGGTCAAGATGGCGGTGGTGGTGGACAAGTACGACTGCTCGCACGCCACGAGGATGTACGGCGACAGGTGGATGAAGGGCTGGACCTCCAAGGCCGAGAAAACGGGCTACGAGGAGTGGCTGTTCGTGTCCTGGGTGTGGGGCGCGGAGAAGATTTTCGGAAAGCTGTTCGCCAAGATTGTGAAGGAGGTGTGCGTCCAGAGGGTTGGCGGCGGCATGGACAGGACTCCAATCCTGAAGGACAGGAAGAGTGCGAACGGGTTTGAAGAGTTTGTGCCCGAGAGTGTGTTAAGTATGACAGCGTGCCCAACCAACATGTGATAACCAACCACAACTATAACTTTTTATTGATAAACCCGGCTTTTTCTCCGCCAGATAGATAGCTGACAAAAGGACATGATGTTATCATTACAGGAGCGATATTAACCCACCGTGCCACCATCCTCTCCCACTTGAAACCGGTCTTCACATCCCTCTTCAAGCGCTACCAACCTCCCCCCACCCCTTCACAACCACCCCTCCAGTGCACCGCCACACCCCCAGACCCCCGCTGCGACGCCCTGGTATTCTTCGGCGTCTACCGCAAGCTCTCGGAATTGAACCTCCTACCATGGAACACCATCGAGGACCTTGACGGCTTCACTATCGACGAGTTGGTGGGCTGGACCCTCAACGCGGCTCCCGCCTCCTCTTCAGTCTCCCCGGTAGGAGGAGGCGGAGGAAGCGGTATGAAGATACTATCGTTGGAAAAGCACGGAAGAGCATGCAATCCGCTCGACCAGCTCACGGCTCAGGTGAAGCAAGCAATGGCCACGAGCGTGGGAAACGGCGAGCGCGAGGTGTGGGAGTTTAGAGGGCGGGAGGAGGAGTACTCGTGGGAGGACATCAGTAGAGAGGTTAGCAAATGAACAAGTTTTTCATAGTGGTGAATTTCAACGGCGGGTCGCGGGCAAAGAATTTGTTCGGACATGGGAAAACTGAATAACTGACTGGACCGCCAACGAGTGGTTGTTTTTCATTGTTTTTATTTTTTTAAAAAAAGGGGCGTCTGTATGATATATAATTAAATGTTGTTCTTTCTCCTTTACCATGTCATTTTCCGAGGGAGGAGCTAGCTCTTGTGTATTTAGTCAGTGGGCATGTCCATCCTATCCCATCCGATCCTAACGGGAATCATGCCTGCGAAAGCGAAACTCTGAGTATCGGACAGAAGGGATGCTGGTAATGCTATGTATGCTTCGTAGCTGTGATCTAAGGTATCGTACCAAGTGCCCACGATACGGTATTATCCAAACGCTGCACGGAATCGAGAGATTTTGTGCAAAGGAATTTACAAGAAGAGATGAAACCCTTGCTATTCGCCGGTTTACCGAATAAAAATAGAGCAAAACAAGTAGGAGATGAATCCAAGTCAAGTGGGGACGACAAAAAAAAGGAAAGACAAAAAAAAAAAAAAAAAACAAGTGAAAGCCAAAGACCTGTCTGTCCGTCTAGTCCCAGCCGGCATCCGTTTTTCCCTTCCTGGTTGATCCTGGTACAGTTGAGTAGTAACACATGAGTTGTATAAGAATAAGTAGAGAACAAGAGAACAGGAAGCAAGAAAAAGAGAATAGGAAAAGCAAAGTGAAATCCCAAGAGCCCCAGTAAAAGAAATGAAATTTGAAATAGAAGCCACATTGAGAGTTTCCCGGACAGTTTAACCGACGCAGCGGGACCAGCCTAGAGTATATATTAGCGCAGTTTACCAACCCCAGCAGCAAGATGAATAAGACAAACCCGGAAGCCCACATCCCATCCCAACAAACAAGTAAACCAAGAAGATAACTACAAACACCAGCAATATCATCAACTGGTCCCCCGTTAGCGCTCCATCCCCCATCTCATGACGTGATAATGACAAACCTTGGTGTTCTTCCACCACATTCTCCTCCTGAGCCCGCGACTCCGGACCCTGAATTCCATCGCCCCACTCTGCAGTCCAGCGGTCTTGTCGACGAGCAGATCAATTCTCTCACCCCTCTCCAGCACCCTCTCGATATTCTCGGTCATGATGCCACGCGCGCTCTCGATTTCCCTCTGAGCCTTGGCGACGACGTCCTCGTTCTCGCCGCCGGCCTCGAACTGGCGCATGGTAGCGGCGAGCGTGGAATTGAACTCGGCACATCCGTAGGGCGGGGCGTCGGCAATGGTGCTGGCGGGGTACTTGCTCGTGAAGAGGCGTTGGATCTCGAGGAGGTAACCGAACGGTAGTTTACGCCCCACCAGCGCGGTGGAGATGACCAAGAAGGTCAGACCTGACGGGATGGACTGCGAGGAGGCATTCGCGATATAGTGGATGTTGTGCTGGCCGTGGGTGTAGGTGAGCTTCTGTGCGCTCGTATGTGAGATCTTGGGGAGGATGAGGGAGGCGAGGGATGAAGCGTTCGCGGATGCGGTTCCGCTGAGAGAGTATTCGGAGAGGATGGTGGTACCGTGGGCGACGCATGCGCTATAAGGTGAGCGAGTTGTCGTTAGCTAGCTGGGGGGAGCTTACTAGAGAAGTGGCGCGGAGGAAGAGGAAGACGACATTGCGGGAAGGTGGAGATGGTGATTGTTTTGCTTTTTCCGGGGGTTCTACTATCCCTTTGAATCGAGATGCTTGACGGTGGTGCTCGCTATTCGATCACGGGTCTGTTGGTGGGTGAGTTGGTTGGCTGGCAAGTGGGGGTGGTGTAAAAGCTGAGGATAGGTTTTTGCTGGATCGGAAAAAGGACGGACGGAGGGTGGGTGCCCCGATGACGATGCTGTCGGTGATTACGTAATGGGGTTTAGGGCGTCATATTCTCTCACTCATTTTTACGGTTCTCCGGATACATCCCGACGACTCGGAAGATCCGACCCCTTCGGTAAACAATCCCGCACGTGTACGAGTACAGCGCTTGTCCACCCTTTAGGAGTCCCGCAGTACAAGTGTGGCCGATAGATTTATTCATCACGTGAGTCTGATAAGAAAATTTCGGTGCACCTTTTGGCTGTGATGTGTCCTTAGATAAGGCACGTGACGAATATATTTATCGGCCGCACTCGTAGGTCTCCACTGCCCAGCCTGTTCGAAGCATGAAAACTTCACACTCCCTACCAACTGATTTTGGATCCCTGCATTAAAGAGGGAAGGTGAAGATTGCTGAAAATCGGTCCTACTGGAAATATCAGACTCGGCGATGGCCTTCGCGGCAGGTACATTTAGGTACCCTGTGTCGCACTCGCTCCGGGGTGTCGGCTGCACAATAAATCAGCTATGATACCACGTATGGTTATCGCCCAACTTACTTCACCATACCCCGGAGTACTGTACACTGAGAATTAGGATCTCGGGCTTGGATGCATGACCGTGTAGTCTACGGACACCACAAATCAACACCTGTGCTAACCTGGAGTCGCTTATTAACAGTCAATAATTTCCGTGAGATGGGTATTTGGTTCCTAATTGGGGATAATTATGCCAAGATATTACCTGTTACTTTGGCAAGCCTTGGTAGACTACGAGTATGGTGTGATCTTCGAGTACTTGTATGCTTAGACGCATTCTAGCGCCCCCTCAAGTTAATGCTTTCATAACCCCTGCCATGAACCTCTGGAGAATGATGGGTCAACCGCGCTCACAGATGGTCTTAAGGGTGGGGTTTGCCGTTGTTCACTGGAGTTTGCCACACATATTCCATGCTGCTTGACAAATTGGCTCTAGAAACACAGAATGTCATGCCAAGAGCTGTGCTGGGCCATTCCACGAAGCACATAGTACTGCCCAATCTAGAGCGAAATAACTTGTTGGACCTGGAGGGTAAGGTCAAGTGCGGGAACGAATCATTTTGTACACAAAGTCACGCCCAAATCCCAACCGCGGAGTTCAGCACGGGGAAAGGAAAAAGAAAAAAAAAAGAAGAAACCGGCATCAAACGTGCTTTTCCACCAGGAATATCACCTAATTTACTCTCCGGAATCCCCTCTTGTCACTGTTCGCTAGACGTCAGTTGAGATTTCCTGATTTTGACATTTTTGGCGCGTTTTGTCATAGCTGGTTCGCGTCTCCCAATTCTGGTACGTTAATGCCGGCAGGGGTTTGGATCTGGATGTGTCATAAGGTATGATGCTGGGGGTGGGCCCCTAAGATACAGTAAAATTTCAGGCCGAGTCTAGAGTGAACGGGTCTCGGGAGGCACTTTTACGAACCCAATTCACGGCACCATCTCCCAGTGCATGGATCCGGGTCACTCATTCCCCCCGCTCTCTTGAAAGCGAGGGATCGGTGCAGTGCTAAATCAATTCGGGGGTTGTAGGAGCCAAGTTCGTTCGGTTTGTTCTTCCCCTGGAGCCGTTCGCACACATCTAAATTTATCTTTCGGGTATTACCGATGATGGCGTATGCATTCCGGGGGTGAACGGATGACTCTGGATGAGTCTACTGCAAAGTCTCCATTAGGGATTCGGAGAGTTACGCGGAAGGCAAGTGCTCCATTGTGCTTCATAGGGAACGGGATTCAAGGTCGGTAGTCATTTTGGAACCGCATAGATTTATTTAATGTATAGCGGTCGTGTGCCTAGTCAGGCCGGGTTTGAAAGGGACGGCGAGGGGGATCTACTCGAGTATGTGGTAATACAGCATTATGGTAGATTGAAATCTGGGACACAGGGCGGCCGTCAATGGGGAAGGCGTGCCTCCGACGTTGAGCCAATTCCTCTCGCTCACGATTTAATCTGGAGTCCGATACGTTCTCGGGAAGGTATGAGATAATAATAATAATACACAGAGTTACGAAAAGTCTACCGAGATGAAAGACTTTTCTCATCCAATATTAAACTCCGAAGCCATCCCCTTCTTCATCTGCATGCCAAAGGCGACCTTACGCATCTTCCTTACTGCTTCCAGGCCAGGATCGCCCGGCTGATCTTCCGAATCCAAGCTTCTTTTGGCGCCCACCCCGGCGGGGGCGGCTGTGGCCGCCGATCCCGCAGTGTTCCCCCTTCCTTTCCCACCGCCACTCCTGCCACTCCCGGGAACTCTGATATCCCCCGGCGCATCCCTGATCCCAAAACTCTTTGCCAAATGTCCGTAATGCAGCGCTTTATGATTAAACATCCCCTTCTCACCGGCAACATGGGTGGTATACGCACGGATATGGCTCCCCCACGCTTTCTTTGCTAGGTCCATCACCGATTTATCCGCCAACACCCACCTCTCAACCTCCAACTGCCATTCCGTAGCTTTATCCTCCCACTCCCGCTTCTTCTGATTGACCCCTTCTTCCCCGAAGCCCTTCTTGAAGACCTCGTCCACATTCGCCCGTATGGCGCTTCCGCACTTTTTTAGCACCGCATCGACATAGCCTTCCTCCGGCCCCGGAAGCAAGAACATCATGGCCCGCCCGGCCCGCCCTGCACGCGCGGTACGGCCGATGCGATGGAGGTGGTCGTCGCGGGAGAACGGGGGGTCGAATTGGATTATTTGGTCGACGTTTGGGAGGTCTAGCCCGCGGGCAGCAACGTCGGTGCAGAAGAGGAGAGAGGGGGAGGTTGTGTGCGCGAAGGAGTGGAGGGTAGAGGTTCGGATTGGCTGCGGGAGAGAGCCGTGGAGTTTGTGGAGGAGGGCGGTGGGGTGGAGGTGTGGGGCTTTGATGATTGCGGGGTTGTTCTGCGGAGCTTGCTTTGCTGGCTTTTCAGCATCGGGTTTAGTTTCTTTAGAGTGGGGTTTGGGGGAGTCCTTTTCGGAGCTTTGTGAAGATTTCGCGTGTTTTGGCAGCTTAGTGCCTGAATCGTCCTCTAATAGGTGGGAAAATACTTGAAAGTGAAAGTCCACCGAATCCGAGCAAGAGAAAAATACAATAATCTTTGGGCTCGCAGCCTGTCGTATAAAAGCCCTTTTGAGTAACGCATTCAACCCCACCAACCTCAACTTTGCTGGAATCACAACGTAACTTTGCTTCAACTGCGCCGGAGCCTGGAACCCCTCTTCCTCGCTCTTGCTGCCCCCACCCGCCTCCTCATGTCCCTTCTCCGCCTTGATGTACAACGCCTCCTTCAGAGAGATATCCCCAAGCCGCTGTACATTGGCCTTCATGGTCGCCGAACAAAGCATCGATACCCTCCTCCTCGGCAATCCCGCTTCACCCTTCCACCCCGCTGCCTCCTCCACATTCTTCGGGAGTTTGCTCTTCTTTTCTAAAATGCCAAGGATACTTCCAATTGTCTCCTCAAATCCCAACTCCATCAGCCTATCGCCTTCGTCAAGCACAACCCACCTCGCCCGACTAACGTCCAGGCTCTCCGTATTCTGCAGGTGATCTAATAGCCTCCCAGGCGTAGCGACAAGTATATTGATCCCCTTCCTCAGCCGCGCCTTCTCACTCTTCTTCTTCTCACCGCCGCTGACAGCGCCCGGGACAATCCAGTGAGGGCCGTTCTTACAGTGGATTAGTGTAGATAGGACTGTTGATATCTGCCGGCACAATTCGCGGGTAGGGGCTAGGATAATGGCGTAGAGGCCGGAATGTCTGGTCCGTTTCGCCACACTCTCACCGTCTTGCGAAGTAGAAGGAGGGGGTGCAGAAAGGCTCATGATACGGTTTACTATTGGTAACAAATAAGTCAATGTTTTCCCCGATCCGGTCTCGGCTTGGATGAAAGCGTCGCTGTCGGTGGATATTAGATCGGGAATTGCGGATCGCTGGATGGCAGTGGGCGCTTCGAGACCTAGTTTTGTTGTAAGGTGATTGGCGAGGATGGGGGATAGTCCTAGGGTTGTGAAAGTGGCAGACCCATCCGCTAACGGAGCATTCGATGGTTCGTTCGCCTCTCCACCCTCACCTTTGTCACCCGTGGCAGCACTCTTAACTTCGGGATTCCCGGTCCATAGGGAGGATACGAATTCCCCCGTCTTGACGGCCTGCGGCGTAGGTTTCTGCTTGGGCTTTCCGCCACCACGTTTGAGCTTTAGTGTTGTTGTGGTTTCAGAGGCGGTAATAGGGATGGTTTGCGCAATATTGAATTCGGCAGTTTCGATAGCTCTCTTCCTTGCGCGGTGTTCGACTGCTCTCTTGGCCTTTAATCGGTCTTTCCAGCGGCCACCTTTGAATTTTGGGATTGTAGCTGTGAAGGCATCTGGGCCAATATCGAAATTAACTACCATGCCATCGTCAGCCATCCTGGGGTGGTTTTGAGAGTGCAATTGCGGTCGGTGTTATGGGGGGAGAGGAGGTGATGTTGGATTTGGGAGTTTTTTTTTTTTTTGATGGGTTGCCCCGCATATGGTTACCCTACCCACTCCCTCGGTAAAATCCTGGGGGAAAAGCAAAAAAGCCCGCCCCTACCCAATCAATCTAGGTTCCGGACGAACCAATTTTTTGCCTCCAACTTCACCAATTTCTCCATCAACCACCCACCCCTCAATACGAAATGGTACCACTTTTGTCCTCTCCATATCCTAATTGTGCCTACAGAGCTAAATACGGTCATAGGCCCACCGAATTATAACCCAAATAGCCCTCGTGGGCACCCGGGTCATCAGCCGCGCCTTTGTGGAAGCCTGGCGACAAGCGCAGGCTACCCAAAAATATGCTAAAGCTACCTCCACGGCGGGGTCAAACACAACATTAAAAGCCCACGCAGGATTAACCCTGGACGAAGCCTGCCGTATACTCAACGTCAAGCCGCCACAGAATGGGGCAATCGACGAGACGATGCTGATCGAACGGTTCAAGAAGTTGTTCGATGCCAATGAGCCGGGGAAAGGTGGAAGTTTCTACTTGCAGAGTAAGGTCTTGAGAGCAAGGGAAAGGATTGAGAGCGAGGTCCGAGAGGCCGGCGAGAAAGCGAGGAGAGCTGAGGAGTTGGAGAAGGGCTGGAAGCCGAAGGTGTATAAATGATGGGGATTAAGGATTTGGGTGTGGTTCTAGGGAGTGAATAGCGTCAGGTGGGCGATATGTTGCCCCTTTCTCTTTGTGGCTTCTGGCTTCTCCCTTTTTTTTTTTTCCTAGTTACCGGGAGTTCGGGCGGGTGGGAAAGCGTAGAAATGATAGATTTTGAACTCTCTACTTTACCTTGTATATATAATACGGTAATTTGGGTCTGCCAAGGACGGGCAGAAACAGACATCATGGATCGGGTTGATTGTATGGGCCTAGGGTTTGATCTTTTTATCAGAGTCAATTCCTTTGTATGAACTAGCTCTTGGTACAGTACGCCACACGAACTAATGACAGAAGAACACCGCGTATCTCGTCTAATGAACTTTGTTTATGTAGCACCTGCAATGCTAAGATCACGTATCTCCTGTAGAACTTGTTCTACTCTTTGGTCAAGGTGGCCTTGAGCGTATTGTTCTCTGGTGTTCGGGTCGAGATATTGTTGGACTTGGGCCATTCTAGAGTATGCCTCTGCACAAACTGTGGGGCGCAAGAATCAATCGATCATGTCTGGAGGGAGGGCGATTAGGGGGGGAAACTTACATCTGAGCTGAATTTTTACGAGTGCTTCGAATGAAGGGTCGAGATAGGGTACCCGGAGGTCAATCAACTGGGGCAATTCTGTAGTAAGCTGTTCATTGAGAGCTTCATAGACATCGCGAGCCATCTGAGCCTCTTTCTCGGTCTGTAATGAGCGTCAGTACAGAGCCAGGTCTCAGAAGTCAGTTGAATGGCAACACACCCTCGGCAGCTTTCCGGGATCTTTGTCAGGCTTTTCTACTAGCTTTTTGACCTTTGCCCGCATCTGGTCGTAATCAAGGAGCTTGTGATTCCTCTTTTTTATGCCTGACGCACGATTCTATTAGTTGTGACCTAGAAACAACCGGCTTGGGGGAGTCTGAACATTCGTTAATGTCTGGGAAGTAAGCGCAGAATCTAGAGATAGGCTCTAAGACAGTAGTCCTGTAAGGGCCGTCCAGAGCCTTGATAGTTTCGGCATCGAGCTCTTCCACAGCTTGCTTGTAGGAGCGGCTGACTCCGTCGCGGGTTCCGGCATCGCCATAGAATGCATCGATCGTCTCGGCGATCCTCATTTGAGATGCAGTCATAGCTGCGATGCAATGTTAGCCGGCAGCATGTCCAGAACAAAGTAACCATCAAACCTCACCTCGCAAGGCATCTAGATAACCCTTTGCCTCCTTTTGCAGCTTTGTCGCGGCGGCCTCCATGGTTCTGAACCGGCGCTCCTCAACCTCATAGTCGCGATCGTTTGTCTTTTCGATCTGGCCTAATGTCCGTTAGAGATAGCCGAAGAGATGGGAGGGATGAGTGAGAACCGACCAGCTTTCATCATGGCCTGGACCGCGGTCCGGTTAACCGTTTTCTTAAAGCCTGGATTGGCTCATTAGCACTGATTTGTGGGCGTGGGATTAAAACCCACCTGCCCAGCTCATGATCTCTTTTCTGTTGGTGTGTTTGTTATTTAAGGGTTTCGATCAAGCGGAAGAAGAATTCAGCAACTTTCCCTTCCACTCGACCAAAACTCGGAACTGGGGAAGGGGAATGAGGGCACGTGATCTGGTTTCGTCATCAAGGTGGCAGTGCGAATCTTGGCGAGTTGGGGCTCTTTTTCTGTTTTTGTGGGTTTGCCAAGACCTTTCTGCAATTTCACGAAACCGCCTCCAATCAAAATAATTGTTATTAGTCCAACATTCTTGGGAATTTGGAGAAATATGGTTCCTCTACTTTCGCCCCGTTTATCGCTGCGAGCATGGCCGGGGATTCTTCTCAGAGCGGGCGCGAGAGGGAAACAATTGCATCCCATCTTGCCTGTTTCTTGGGGAGGGGGGTTACCGCGGCTGGCCCACTCGTCCTCTTCGCCATTGGTAGAGACGTTAAGGAAACGGGCTCTTGTCCAGAAAGTGACTGGGTAGGTAAGCATTCTGAATGCCCCATGGCTTACTCTGTATTCCCGCTTGAAGTCTCCGTAATTACACCAGCTCACATGTAACTATGGTTCCCGGGATTGTCGGGGGAGCTTTGGAACTTGAGTCTATAAACACCCTGACGTCTGAAGCATTGTATAGAAATCTCGTTCAGGGCGTACTGTGCATCTTGCCGAGGGCGTGACTCCGCTACGAGCAGTTCCTTAACGAGTAGGATTTCTGACATGTGTCTGAGTTGTAGTTTGCCCGGCCAACTCGACAACCTTGTGGAATCAGGTCCTATAGTAGCCTACGCTGGGGTTGATGCTACTGCCCCCTCATTGCACGTCGGTCATCTGCTCCCACTCATAAGCTTGCTCCATTTTTACCTTCACGGACACCACGTTATAGCGTTGGTATATCTACCTCTGCTTCACAATTGTTATAACTAAAGCTGATAGTCTGTCGAGGTTGGTAAATCTACAGCTTCTGTTGGGGACCCTTCCGGTAGAGTTGCGGAGCGTGACTCGATTGCATCGCGGAGACTTGGTGAATGGTTTGACAGTTTATGGGCTCAAATAGAGAAATTCTTCGAGAGGGGTAGAGAATATGCAGTTTCAAAAGGGTATAGGGAGGCAAACTTTGGAAAGATGGAGATGAAGACCAATGCAGAGTGGTTGGATGGACTGGGGCTAGTCGAATTCCTCGCTGCAGTGGGTCCGCATATTCGAGTCAACAATATGCTTGCCCGGGACAGGTTGGTTCAATGCTCGCCGTTCTGTGCTTAACCTTACTAAGGCTTCCAACCTATAGCGTCAAGGGTAGAATGAGCTCTGGGACTGGAATCAACTTTGCCGAGTTCACTTACCAATTACTGCAAGCCTATGACTTTTGGCACTTACACCGAACTGCCAACTGCCGTCTGCAGGTACGTCTACTCCTCCGGATGTTTTGGGGAGTGCTTACGGTGGGCTAGATAGGGGGTAGTGACCAATTTGGAAACATCACTGCGGGGATCGACTTGATATCTAGATACCAACCCGGTTCCACCAGCGAATCCTCTTCCACTCACAAGGAAGCCTACGGTCTAACTGCCCCCCTCCTAACCACCGAGTCTGGTGAGAAAATTGGCAAATCCGCTGGTAATGCCATTTGGCTCGACGGGGATCGAACCACACCCTTCGAACTCTACCAGGTACATCCAACCTATTTCTAGAGGTAAAAGAGAGCCCTCAACTAATAACCACAAGTTCTTTGTGACTCTCCCTGATACGCACGTCCAAAAATACCTTCAAATGTTTACCTTGCTTCCTCTCTCCGAAATCTCGACGGTCATGGACTCCCACGCTACAAACCCTGAATCCCGCGCCGCCCGAACCCTCCTCGCAAAAGAAGTCGTCACCCTTATCCACGGCGTAGGGAAAGCCTCGGAAGCGGAATTCGTCACAAAGTTGCTTTTCCCGGTAGGCGGGGAAGCGGCATTTTCCGCGGCGGACATCATCTCGGTATGGGGCGATCGAGTCATTAGAGTGCCAAGGGCAGAGGTGATTGGCGAGATGATTGCAAAGCTTTCCAGACGGGCGGGAGCTGTTAAGTCGAAGAGTGCTGCGCAGAATATTATTAGGTCTGGCGGGATGTACGTTGGATTGAAAAACGAAAAAGTTTCTGATCCGGCGGCGGTGGTGGAGGAGGGGTGGCTAGTGGATGGAGAGGTTTTGCTGTTGCGGGTGGGGAAAGGGAAGTTTACCGTTGTTCATGCGGTTTAGAGTGGCGTTGAGGACGGAGGCGTAGGTGGATCAGACGTGGAAGTGAATCCTTCGGAATCCATAAAGAATATGTTAGAAATCTCGAAATCTCAATCAACTCATACAGTAAATAGGAAAATTGAAAATAGTAGTTACTCTTTCTTGGCAATATACAACAGATGCTAATTCTCTCCCTTTCCGTGTCCAAACTCGGAGTTTTGACTTTTTTCCTTCTCTGCCATTATTTCACGTAATATTATAGACCAATCCCACTTTCCCTCCCGAGTCGTTCCCCGGTCCGGTCGATATGTTAGGCGGCCAAGTGAGGGGTGGGATTAGGCAATTCCCGAACTGAAACCAGGAAAAAAGAATCTCCCAGTTTTTAGCCCAACATATTACTCGTTTCTTATTTGCCATCTCCAGCACACCTGCTTTAGCGTCACAACCAGTCACTCGACCGCATGGTGTTGACTCACACTTCATGTGACTATATATTCGGTTCCGAGCGAAACGCCATTACCACACTCGCGACCGGCCGCAGTGGAAGGAATATAGTCACTATTTAAGGTACTTTTTCACACCTCGCCACGCTTGATAGGTGGGGGATAGGGAGGTTTAGAATCTTGGGAATCATGGTGAACTTATCCCCGCCGGTGGGCTCCTTTGCTCAAGAACTGGCCCGGCCCCCGGAAGACTTGGGTAAGCCCTGCGGATGGAATGGCTCACTGCCGCTCCCCACCACATCTCGTCTCCCGAAACTCCACCGGCCGTTATTTCGGGTACTGCTGGTTGCCCTGAATTATTGCCAGTCCGGCAGCTGATATTCCCTGGCCATTATTGTCAATAGGTAGTAAAGCCTGAACTTGAATAGGCTGATAGAGCCCGACCGGAAGAGACCTCTGGGCTAACGGTGTACTTTATTGGCGATGGTTAGTCCCGCCTTGGTTATCTTGCTTTGGATAAATTATCGAGTGAGCCTCCATGATGGAGGGCTGTGGTGCTGTTGTTCATTCGCTGTTTTCGGATTGGTGGTCCAGGGCGTGGTGGCTGGTGGCTAACTGATTTTGGGATTGCTGGTGGGTCTTGGAGACTCCTGTTGGTGTGTTGCTTGCATGAGAGTGGGTGTTGAGTACATCTTTGTTCTTGGAGCTGGCACGGGGAGATTTGTAACATGCTCTTAGGCCTCGGTCTAACACTCGCCTAGCCTTTTTCTGGGACGTCCTAATTATTGGAAAGCATACTCGATACTACGGTTGTGCAGATCAACAACCGTGCTTTTTATCGATTTATATTTTTCCGATTGTTTTTAGATTAGGTCGCGGTGGCGTGGTGGCTGTGCTGTGGAAAACAGACTCAGCCGTTGAAGAGAGAGTGCGGTGCTGGTGTCTTCCCTCCCGGGATTGGCGTCCAATTTGCAATAGCTGCTGGAGACCCACATAAGTGTTGAAAGTCACTAGTACTTACATTTCAGTTGTATTCATTGATCGTTAGAATGGGGGTTTTACACAATCATAGATTTTTTTCTGCTAGTATCTCTAGTCTTATTTCATGTTCAGTTTCAGAATACGGGAGGAAGGACTGGACTGATATTGTGATACTTAGTGGTAGTATTCAGCAGTCTTTCGGCAAGGCTTGGTGAGCCAGATATATTAGTCTGGGAACTTCTCTCAGAAAGAGCCCGAGCGGGGCATCCAAACATCGGAGAGATTCTCGAGAAGGCATGTGGTGGGATAGGAAGGATTTCTGCAGCCTGTGTATTGACACTTGATTGTGGATGGTGACTTCATCGGCCTGTATAAACCCTCTCTTCCCAAAGATAGGAAAAAAATAGAGCAAGCAATGAATATAAAATTATCCTCCTTGTTTCTTTTTGTTGCTCTACAGCCTACATTCGGAGATCCTGTCCGCTACATCTTACATTAATAACCCATGTGGGGTAGGGTTGTCGGGAGCTTGTCCCGGAGGAAGGGGCGAAAATCACAGCAAAGAATGTGAGCTATACAGCCCGTGGAAGGAGAAGGAGAGGAAAGCTAATTTGCAGAGCGGGCGCTTCAATTATTTGAAAATTTACGGTAAGTTTAGATATATATGTGCGTGTGATACAGTAAAAGATCATGAAATTGGCTATCTCAGTAGCCGGGGGTAATCTCCATTTCGTTAACGATGAGTTTAGTTTGATAGGTTAATAGAAATGAAAATACTGGTTACTGAGACCCATCGCACTATGGGCTACTAGGAGATTACAGGGTTTGCGTAGATATCTAATTCGGGGAGCTTTTAAGGTGGGACTTGAAGGGACACATCTGGTTCGGTAATTGATAGTGGCGTTTAATCCTGGTACTGTAAAGGGGAATTTATGACTGGTAAGTACGAAGGCGTAGGGATGTCGCGGATATTGTTTGGATGAGTTGCGGAGGGCCTTGGAATCACATCAAAAGCTCCTGGAAGCTCCTTACAGGCCCGAACGACCGGAGGTGGTCCATCAAATGGCGGCCTGGGCAGGATTCAGGACGTGTCTATTGCTACACAATTTGGTAACTTCTGGGGCGGTTCCATCTCCGCCATTAGGAAACTACTTGATCGGCGGGATATCTGGTTGGCCGGTCAGGCCACTTTCTGGTTGGGGTATCCCCGTGGTGAAATATGGTCCAGCCAATCGTAATCAGGATAGGGGGGGGGGGGGTTATCTGAGCAGTGTTGGATTAAGAATACCAGAAACGGCATTTCCCTCTCATGCTGAGTGATCTTGTATCCGTCATATATGTTTATTTCAGGAATTCTTAGCAAGTGTGTGAGAGTTCTAACAGACAGGCTTTTTTTCATGGCGATCGGCTCCAGGTGCCTGGTGGGTTACTGCAGGTTACAGTATATTTTTGTATTGTATCGAATGGTATGATACCTGACCGGGGACTTGCCATTAATCGTTGTATCTGAGTAGTGTTCGAACAATATGGTGGGTTACCGTACAGTAAAGTACTGGCACCGTACGGTATGTTACGGTAGATTGCATCAGGGAAATAAAGATACCGGAAAATGGCATTCTCCACCTTAAACTTTAATGCCAAGTAATCCTGTTTTCCCTCCTATGTTTACGTTAGGAATTCTTAGTATAGATGTGTGAATGCCAAAACCCAAGCTTCTTCACGACGGTCGAATAGCAGCGCCTGGTAGGTTCACAGTGCCTTCCGAGGCGTTACATATCGTATTGAATTCTACCTTGCAGTAAACTTACTATTCGAACCCTACAGCCTAGATCTAAGCGAGTGATAGGATATGAAGAGGAAGTGAATTTTTTTGCTATTGGGAGTTGGGCTCTTGTATCGATAAAGCTGGGTGGCTGAAGAGGTATGATAATACAATTGGTGACGAGGGTCTTATCTAAAAGTCTGGGAGAATATGTTACGGGTTTTGTGGAACAGACTTTTCGCCTTAAGTCATTGTTTTGCGACATAGCGTTGTTCCCCCAACTTTCTTTTTAACATTTCCCTGGGTCCGCCGTGCCCAATCCTTTTCAATTAATTTCCCTCACCTGTACATCGCCCGGTGGGAGTGCGATCCTTGTTAATACTATTTTGTTTTGTTGGGGGTTTGCGGGTACGTCGTGATACATTTGCACTAATCTCACGCCCATGCTGATATGTGATTATAAGTTGGTGCTTCATCTTAAAGCACACTGCTCGAAAATGTGCCCGTCGCCTTTGGGCTAGGAGGGGTCCTGTTGGAAATAGTGAGATGCTGCTCGGCATTCTCACACTCTCTTCAACCCCTTCCCTTTCACCCCCTTCCCCCTTCGCTCCCTTTTCTTTCGTTTTCCCCGTTGCTCGTTCGTTGGTTTGCTCGTTTATCTGTTCGTCCATTCGTTCGTCCATTCGTTCGTTCGCTTGTGCAATGGTTTGTCTGTTCATATGCTAGTTAGCTTTTCTGTTATATTCCGGGAGCGCACTTTGTTTTCGGGGGGGAGCTTGGTCGTCGGGAGTGCGTGCAGGTTGTGGAAGGTAAGGAAGGAAGGCGAAGTAGGAAGGCCGCCGGGGATGCAGAGAGGGTATGGGGGACGCTATTATGTTTGTTTGTTTCCTTTGTTAGCATGCGAGTTTTTGTATGGGGAAGGGGAAGTATACGAGCAGGCTGGGAAGGATAGGAGGACGCCGTCTGTCTATTTGCATGATAGTTAGTTTTTCCCTCTGTTTGATTATTTCTGGGGGCATACTTGGGCTTTCCGGGAAAGCAGTTTGGCGCCAGGAAAGCACTTCGGCAGGTTGGATTCGGGGGTTGAGGGAAAAGCGACGGACTGGAGGACTTGGTTTGCGGTTTGCTGTTCGTAGTTTATCGTTTGTAGCTTGTGGTTGATATATACTCCTGTCCCTACCGTTAGTTAGTTCATGTTAGTTGAGCACGTGCGCGAATAGAAGTTAGTTGGGTGGAGAGAGAGTGCAAGTGTGTCTGTGGTGAGAGAAGTGAAGAGTTTTCCCTGCCCGTGAGTTGTATGATCAATCCTTTTTTGTCAGCACTTCGGTGGGGTGCCTTTGTTGTGGATCACAGCTAGTCACTCCTTCGTTTCATGGCGGCCGGCCATCTCGATTTCTAATAGGCCCTGCTCCGGGATCGCAGGAGCTGTTTTCATATTCCGGAGGGGGGGGAGAAAAGTGGTATAATGGATTATGGATACGGTACGGGCGTAAACTTAAATAGGACGTGTTGGTCATTGATAAGCGCCTGGTTGGGCACGGCCGATCCTGCACATTTCTCCATACGAATGGAGGTTACCATCCGTTGCGGGATTGTCGGGCAACCGTTGCCAAAGGTGAGATCATCACGAGGCTGGACTGTTGCCCTTCCTCCTATTTTTCTAAACAGGCTCTGGGAGTTGTTGCAAAGAAAGAGGTTGTGAAGTAGGGTGTTGTTTAGGAGGACATGGACTGAGTTCGTAGAAAGCGGTGTGGGGAATTTGCAGTGTTCCGAACCGACCAGTCCGTCCGTCTTTGGGGTAGGACTGGACGGACCACTCGTTGTAGTCCGTCCTTTTCCCAGTGCACGGGCCGACTAGGGCAGACGGAGGTAGGACGGTAGGGCCCTGGGGAGTTTTTCTGTTATCATAGATCTTGTGGGCCAGTATGCTTAGATGACTCAAGTTCATAATTTAGTCCCACTCACGGTTCACAATCCTGCCAATCATGCGCGACATACGCAAACAAACTAATCAGACAGAAATAATTTATTTTTAAGAAATAAAACAGTCCAAAGTCTTTGCCAAGCGAACGCTCAAAAACAGCCGGCATGAATCTGCAAAGCAGCAAGCATATATATATTAATCTTTTGAATGTCCGGATACAAGAGGGTCAGCTGAGCTTCCAGGGAACCCCTCAGGTAAATCCCAGGCATTCTGCGGAGTGAACCTCTGTCCCATCAGTTCTTTGGCTTGTTGCGGCGGCACAAATATAGTTAAATCGAATGATTTATAGAAGTATTAGAAAGAGAAATAAGGCTCGTCAAAGAATATATTGGTTCAGTCTTGTCTTAATACTCGGATCACATGATGATCTGTTTAACCTTCTCTTTCTGGTGCTCAAATTGTTTACCGTATGGGTTACCTGGCATCATTATATATCACGCATAGTTTGTTTGCAGTGCCTGGCAGTCATGAGCCATCCCGGGAGTTCCCCCCATCTTTGCTCACCTACACCCGGCCGTCATTCCTAATACCTACCGTCTGCCGCCACCCCCCTCGGTCCAACCCTACACCCCACAGCCCCCTCCTAGACCCTAAGGTCTTCTGATACCCACTATAGTCCCCCGCGCAACCAAGGCCCTCCTGCAATCTCCCCTGCAGTTTGACTAACCAGCCGCTGTCCGCTGGGTCTCACGGTACTGATAAGAACATAGTGTGTCGGGCCTGGAGGTCCCGGCCCAGTCTGATAGTCTCTCACGAGATTTGACCTACACAGGACCACCTCTAGTGGCCATGTCCCATCCTGTCTTCTTGCAATAACCGCCGCCATCCCTGTTGGGCCCCGGGACGGCCCCGAACACTGGGGGTCTGTCTGTGTGTCTGTGGCTTGAATTTAGATGTGGGTACCGATGGCGAAATGATTTGCGGTAGTGGAAGAGGTGTGATATCACATGGTGAATGGAATTCCTAAGGAGGAAGGTGTTCTAGGTGTGACTGGTCGAGGGGCACGGACTAAATTACCATCTGAATATGATAGAAAAACTTGCGAGGAACGATGGAACAGCATTCTGGGATTCACCCCTGCAAAGGTTCGAAAATATCAACGAACGAGGGCCTGCCGTCCTGCTCAACCACACCTTCCTTCACCCCTTCGCCCAACTTCCTTTATCTCCCCCGCCACGATCTGCAGCCTTTGTTTTGTCACAGCAGTACGAGCCAGTCGATATAGTCCGTCAGTGTTCGCAACTGTGCGGGGGCCCCATGGGACCAGGGGGACGGACTGCTAAAAGCCCCCGACTGGCCGGGACAGGATATGGTACCCAGTCCTTGTCTTTGATGTCCCAAGAGGGCCGTTTCTCGGGGGGGGCCGCGGGCCCGATCACCGGAGACGTTATTAGCCAGGGTACTAGCAGCATGGCTGGTGGACCAAAGGGACAGCGGGCTTAGTATATGGAGGAGTGAATTTAGGTGTTATAGGGTGTCGAGATACCCCTAAAGCACTCGAATTATATTCCGTTGGACTTCGTTCGTCTTCTGTAGGCTAGAATACTTTTTTTCCTGTTCCTCCTACATTCACAAATGTTATGCCGTTCGTATCGACCCGCTCTGTATATTACTTCCATCAATTATTTCTTTGCTTTGACATGCTTGCGCTTGTTGAATTATTTCCATGCTGCTTTAAGTTACTCCTTATTTGCCGTGGCCGCATCTCTCAGCTGAGTATTGCTACAGTTTCACCCCATCCATCTGCTAAGAATCTTACTTTTTTTTAACTGAATTGATGAGAGTTGCTCACTTTCGGATCCGGGCCCAAAAACCACAGTTGGCAACTGGCCTGTATGGCTGGCTACCCATCTTTGAGTGCCTGCCAGCAATACAAAGCAGTTAGAATAGAAATTGTGAGGATTGCCAATCAGACATGACTTAGCACTTTAGGTACTGGGTGCTAGTATAAAAAACAAAGAGTCTCTATGAATGGTTCGTTATCTTCCTGTTTCGCACGGCTCATAGTTGCTAAAAGCACATGTGATTCAAAGTCAACCGTGACCTGATGACAAAACCTGTTCTACCATTAGCAGTAAAAAAAAAACTAGCAAAATCCACCATCGCCGTCAGCCCTCTGGTCTCTGACTTCTGGGTTAAAACTTCTTAAGAAGGATTAGTAGTTTCCTGATGTGGTAAGATGTGAGCCATTTGGCTGTTTTGGATCACATTAATTGGCTTTCACAATTTGGTTAACTCACTAAGTTAAACTTATCTCGGCAGCTGTCCTGATTTTCTGAGATATTTGGCATAGGGCCGAGGTGGCGGGTTTCAACACTTTTACGGTACTTGCTGATCTCGGGTCACCCATGTTCTCGAGTACGATAAACCTATCAACCACTGGTAGTGTAGTATGATTATCATGAAAAATACCTTAAAGCAGTTACACCCTCAATGAGATTGCACCCACAGCCAGATTATTTAGTAGCAAACCAGTAATCATGGGCAGAAAATTTCCTTTAAAGGAAAGAATCTTGGCGTGGGTGCAACCTCGGCGTGGGTATGCCCACTTTAGCACTACGCGGTATCGTCACATATCAGAGACACGAGCACAACACGACAGGTGACCGCAAAGGGGTATGGTACTGGTAGGTAGGACAACACAGAAATATGTGTATTTTGAAGTGGGTGTGGTAGATCTGGATTCAATAAACTAATTGGCAGAAACTATTGGTAGTTATGAATAGATATTGGCATTTGGCACTACTCCCTTCTATTTGGGAAGTCCAAATTCTGAGTTGGGATTTCCAGTCCCTTGGCGTCAAAGGATATGAACTGTTACGGGGTCGAGACTTCAAAGCATATGAGTCATCTCACCTTAGGTCTCTGGTGGTGTCAAAGTGACGGAGATGCCGCTCCTCACTAGCGATCACTCTTTGTCAAGTTAGTGTTTCTGTTGAAAATTGCGGTTGAATTGACCAAGGTTTTATGGAACTGAAGGAAGTAAATGCCCAAAGAGAGAAAAGTATTTTTCTTGTATACAGAGAGTGGAGTCAAGAGAAAGAAAAGAAGGAGGCAGGTTTGTTGACTGTGCAGAGTGGAGGAAACACCAAGCGAGGAACAGGAGGAATTGGGTGTGTTGGTTGGTCAGGTAAGAGAAGAAAAAGAACAGGAGAAAACAAACTTCAGGGAGCAACGCACAACAAGGACATGAAAGATGTGTAAGCACTTACATATGCACATGAATGCTTATGGCTCGCATATTAAATCATTCTCATGTTTTCAACAGTTTCAGCAGCCCACCTACATCACCCAATAAACACCGCTATGACATCCAATATTGCACTGTCTCCTTGATTCTCTGAACCCCGCTTTTTGCCTTCTGCCTTTATAGCGGGGGGAGCGTAGAGTGGGGGTACGGCAGTTACTGTAATCCATTTTCTTTTACCATGATCAAGTCAATCCAGCGGATCCAATGGGGAGAGTCACATCTGATATAAAAAGTGATAGGAATGATACCAAACACCCTGAACAGGCCTATAAGCGAAAGCCGATATAGATGCAGTAGCTGATATGTAATGGGCAGCTAATTATTCAGGTGGTTTTGGGATGAGAATTCTGGACCCTGGACGGGCTGGTGGGGTATGCGACTTGGCCCGACGAGGTTTCGCTCTATCTAGTTTAGTGGGGGAGAAGTCGGTATTTTCCAACCGGAACGTGGTGTATTGACCAACTACACCAAAAGACCTTGTTTATACATGGGCCTCGTGCCGTGGTTTGGGCTAGGCGGAGCCTGTTCTGTATCTTGATAGCCAAAATACCAGACCCCGAACATGGTCTACAAGCACCCCGAGAACCTGCTCTGCCCCATCCCACTTAACAGATATGGTAGCCTTGCCTATCACACATGTAGATGGGCCAAGAAAGGAATAAAAGGGTTTAACGCGAATATTCCAAACCCATTCACCAGCCCTTATGACTGGCGCAAACAGCACACCCAGCCCTTTGTGTGAATTAACTCTGGGGTATTTGGAAGATTCATTTCCCGGAAAAGCAAAAATTAAGCTTATCGGTTTTGTTAGGCCCCAATGTTTCAAGCTTGGCTTGGGACGTGATTCGCGAGCGGAAAACGGACATATGGGGGTATGATACGACTCCCAGGTTTTGTAGGCTAAATTTTGCCGGCAAGGGGTGCTGGGCTAGCACGGGTATATGCTGCAAATTGGGCAATTTCTAGAGCAAGTTACCCAATCCGTGCTGAAATTTACGCTATTCGCGTTAGGAACCCCCGTGCATACAAACCGCCAGAGCTGCACCTCCGTACAGGCTAAATTAGGTAAAGAAAGCTGGGCTTGGACTAGGAATTTGTTCCTTTTTAGTCCTTGTACCCTCCGAGTACTCGTAGAGACCAGCCAGAAAAACTTTGATACCATAGCGGACAATGGGCGCTATTGGCGAGAGTATTACAGAAGCATGGAAAATCCTGAAGTAATGGAGCTGCTGTATGCTAATTTTTATGGCCCATCCCGCACGAGTACAGGAAAGAACAAACATGCACTAGATCAGAATCAAAGAAGAAAAGAAAGGAAGGACTTTGATAGCAACAGTTGAGAAGGGAAAGGGGACAGGTATCGAGCCAAGTAGTAGAAAACGGAAGAACAGAGCGATCCTTCCTCTGTTTTCATCACAATCTCTCCGATTCCAAATACTGTAGTACTTCTGCTTCACAAAAATGGTCGGAAAAGGCTTCACACTCGTTGTTGAAAACTCGGTGTTGGTTGGTTTTTTTTTCACAATCTCGCTAGTACCGTACATGTAGAAGAGTCCCCAGAAAAAGGTAGAAGACCCTTACAAACACTTCCGCACCCTTTGCTCAGACAAAAAAAGACCAGTCCCCTGCAACAGCCCCAAATACCACGAAGCCCTAAGCAAACAAACAGGTACAGGATACATCATTCAAGGCATTCTGAAGTAAAGGGAAAAAAGTAAAGAGAAAAAGTAAAGAGAAAAAGTAAAGAGAAAAAGTAAAGAGAAAAAGTAGAGAAAAAAGTAAAGAGAAAAAAGGTAAAGAGAAAAAAACTTCTGCAAACATTTCCCTCCACAGTACTCGGGTGCCCGTAGATGTGCCGAAAGTCCTAGGTAATGTCATACTCACACAAATACTACATACGCTAAGGTGATAAGCTGCCAAGCAACCCCTAAAATCCTCTAACCTTCTCCCATTGCCCTAGCCCTGTCGCTCAGAACCTTTAAAAGACCAACACACAGCGCCATCGATACAAATACCATCCAAGTGCTTCCGATTCCTGCTGTACTAACCACTGACCACCGAAAAACAATAGCTGACAATCCCGCTCACCTACTCAATATCTCCGCTACCCCATCTGTCTCCCAAACACCCGTGCCAAACATACCGCTCAGTATGGATCGTTACCTGAATGAAGGGCTAGAAGGGGTGGAACGCCAGCACTTTCGCGATACCCGCTCCTTCAATCGAGCGATTCAGGCGCAGGCAGATGAATTACGCTCGGGTAACTTTAGTGCTGGGCAGTATGCTGTGTTTTCCCCAGTTACGGAAGCCCAGCTTGCGAGGCTCAAGTCCAACCGCGACGACAGCCACAAATCACTCCGCTTCCTCTACCTGAACGATGCAGAGACCTTGATTGTTAAAATCATGCCTGGCCCAACCCACGAAACAGCAACCCGCGAGCTTGCACTCATCGTTCGACTGAAGATTGGGGCAATGGGGCTGCTCCGGACTGTTCGCGATATGGGAGGTACAACCTACCCAGGAGCAGCATCTCAAAAAGATGCGGATTCAGCAATTAGACCTACCGCCTTTCGTCCTCTCGAAACAGACTGGCCAACCGTGGTCTTTGAATGCGGGGTTTCGGAGTCGCTTCAACGTTTGAGAACTGATTCAAACTGGTGGCTAGCAAACTCCGCCCATGATGTCAAGATCGTCCTTCTCATCTCGGTCAACAAACCCCAGCGGACAATACATCTAGAGCAGTGGGAAGACCTCACCGTACCGAATCCCCATATTACACGAAACAACTTTAATCCCCTCCAGATCAGGCCGACCAAAGTCAATGAAATCAACATCGACGGAGGTACTATCACTGGAACTCCTTTGAGGCTCCCTTTCGCCAAAATCTTTCTTCGTCCAGCAGGTCCAGGCGAGGGAGACATTGTCTTAAGTGCACAAGATCTCCTGGATTATTCTGACGATGTCTGGAGTGGTGTGCCATAGGCAGTAAGTTATCCCCCGGTAACAATGGCTTAAGATTGAACTCAAGGATAATTTGTTCGGCAGCTAAAGGCACAGAGGGAGGAGGATACATCACTCCTAGATGGCATTGAGATGGATGGGAAGCAGTGGATACGGGAGGACGACATAATGGCGGGGTGGAATAGTGGCACTAAGGGGCTTCCGATGGCTGATGCTTGCTTTTTTTGATTGCTATGTTTTTTGACTACAGAAGTTTTGCGATTTGTGCCTGATCGTTTCTCGTCCTGGGCACCGGAAGTCTCTCCTTTTCGCCGGTATCAATATTTCGTATTCTGCTTTTTTTCTAACAATTTCTATCTATCCTTTTTTCTTCTCCGGTCACCGTATGCTCTTATATACACTGACAACAATAAAAAATTCCTTCCAGTCTCCGAGCATAATCCAGGTGATCCCGCTTTTACCCCTCTTCTTGACATTTCCTTGGACTTCTCCCAACTTCTCTTTACCCCGCTCCTGTCAACCAATCCTATGCCCTCCTAGCCCCACATGCTATAGGTTTCCTTGTCTTCCACCCGTGCTTCCTAGTACATGAGCCTTTTGTCGAAGCTCCAGAACCTTCTTCATCACTGGCAAATAAAAAACTTATAAGCATTACAAAGGAACAATTCTAGCTCCGGAGATATATCTAATACCCCTCAATTGTGGGGGTGATAACGATAGGACTGTTGCTCTGGGTACCGGTGATTTGCAATAAGAAGTAATGACATAAAAGGCCACAACTTAAAAAATCACAACTCAAGTAAAATGTTCGATAATCACATATGAGGTGAGATGAAGACTGACCTTTAGCCGGGAGCTCCAACCACACTGCTTTTGTCCTCGGTCCCTCACACCTCCGAGAGTGGTGGGACCTCTGATATCCCTTCCCTCAACCAGTTTTCTCACTTTGACACCGAGTCCCGGCCAGCCCCTTTTGGATATAGCGCCCCAAACTTTCTATCCGACTTGAAAATTAACATAAACAGCAGAACGCCGAAACCAGTGAAATCTTATTTTGAAACTCATCTTGCGTAGCCCCCCTAGGATTAGTATTTTAGGTTTAGGGGGAGCGTGCAGCGTTTTCTTGTATGTGGTTTAGTGGGGGTATAACAGAGTGATCATCTGTGCATGTGCCGGCCTTTGTAGACGAGACCCTAGTGTTCTCCATGAGCCTGCTCGAGTCGAGCCCCGCCACTAGCTCGAGCTGGCTCGGCTTGATAGGGAATAGACTCGAGCCGCTCGAGATTTAAGGCAGGGCTCGAGCCTCCCCAAGTAGGCTCGGGAACCAAGGCTCGAGCCTGGTTTCGTTAGTGGTCATGTAGTATCACTCGTTAAAATGACCTACAGGGGAACGGTACAGTGTACCTAAGTAGAGGATATGTTCCAAATATTAAGTGGGTATAAGAAAAACTCCAAATTCTACTACGAACATATTGGTTTTCCGCTTAGCCCGCCCCCTAGTTTGTGTAAATCAATCGAGGACTGTATATTTATAGAAAGTATGATTGACTTGCTCTACTTAGGAGTCCTCATTGCCCTCTAACATACTAGATCTTCAGCCTCTCATGAGTCTAGGCAAATTTAGGAGTAAAGTGGGATCCGTACTTGGCTCCGCGCTCCGAGTTAGGCTAAGAAAAATTTGTGTAAACGGCTTCCGGGGTATCGGAAAATCTAAAATTATTAGATTTCTTTCTGCCTAGCCTACTAGGACCTCCACGACATATACAAGGTAATATTAGAGAGACTAGTCTCTTCCTCTCTTTCCCGTGCCGATTTGAAATGAAAAATAAATCGTTTGAATAAGCCCGAGCTTAGCTCGAGTACGGCTCGAGCCAAAGTTTTGATAAGCTCGAGTCGGCTCGGCTCTGGGCATATGTCGGCTCGCAAAGCTTGAGCCAAAAGCTTGATCCAAGCCTCCGAGCCTCTCGGCTCGTGGGGAACACTACGAGACCCAGATTGGTGATGAACCATTGGCGGGATGAGCAAGAAGCATTCCTGAAATTCAAAAGGGGATACCATGTTGACGAGGAGATCCCGAAGGAGACAAAGGAGAGCGAAGGAAGGTACCCACAATGATAGGAGAAGCCTCACATAGTCCCCCGCGCAACCAAGGCCCTCCTGCCATCTCCCCTGCAGTTTGACTAACCAGCTGCTGTCCGCTGGGTCTCACGTACTGATAAGGACATAGCGTGTCGGGCCTGGAGGTCCCGGCCCAGCCTGATAGTCTCTCACGAGATTTGACCTACACAGGACCACCTCTAGTGGCCATGTCCTATCCCGTCTTCTTGCAATAACCCCCGCCGTACCTATTGGGCCCCGGGACGGCTCGGAACACTGGGGGTTTGTCGGTGTGTCTGTGGCTTGAATTTAGATGTGGGTGCTGGTGGCGAAATGATTTGCGGTAGTGGAAGGGGTGTGATATCGCATGGTGAATGGAATTACTAAGGAGGAAGGTGTTCTAGGTGTGACTGGTCGAGGGGCACGGACTAACTTACCATCTGAATAGAAAAACTTGCGAGGAACGATGGGACAACATTCTGGGATTCACCCCTGCACAGGTTCGAAAATATCAACGAACGAGGGGCGGCCCTCCCGCTCAACCACACCTTCCTTCGCCCCTTCGCACAGCTTCCTTTATCTCCCCCGCCACGATCTGCAGCCTTTGTTTTGCCACAGCAGTACGAGCTAGTCGATATAGTCCGTCAGTGTTCGCAACTGTGTGGGGGCCCATGGGGCCCGGAGGAGGGACTGCCAAAAGACCTGGACTGACCGGGACAGGATATGGTACCCAGTCCTTGTCTTTGATGTCCCAAGAGGGCCGTTTCTCGGGGGGGGCCGCGGGCCCGATCACCGGAGACGTTGTTGGCCAGGGTATCATACTAGCAGCATGGCTGGTGGACCGAAGGGACAGGGGGCTTAGTATATGGAGGGGTGAATTTAGGTGTTATAGGGTGTCGAGATACCCCTAAAGCACTCGAATTATATTCCGTTGAACTTCATTCGTCTTCTGTAGGCTAGAATACTTTTTTTCCTGTTCCTCCTACATTCACAAATGTTATGCCGCTCGTATCGACCCGCTCTGTATATTACTTCCATCAATTATTTCTTTGCTTTGACGTGCTTGCGCTTGTTGAATTATTTCCATGCTGCTTTAAGTTACTCCTTATTTGCCGTGGCCGCATCTCTCAGCTGAGTATTGCTACAGTTTCCCCCCATCCCTCTGCCAGGAATCTTACTTTTTTTTTAACTGAATTGGTGAGAGTTGCTCACTTTTGGTTCCGGGCCCAAAAACCACAGTTGGCAACTGGCCTGTGTGGCTGGCTACCCATCTTTGAGCGCCTGCCAGCAATGCAAAGCAGTTAGAATAGAAATTATGAGGATTGCCAGTCAGACATGTCTTAGCACTTTAGGTACTGGGTGATAGTATACAAAACAAAGAGTCTCTATGAATAGTTCGTTATCTTCCTGTTTCGCACGGCTCATAGTTGCTAAAAGCACATGTGATTCAAAGTCAACCATGACCTGATGACAAAACCTGTTCTACCATTAGCAGTAAAAAAAAACTTGCAAAATCCACCATCGCCGTCAGACCTCTTGTCTCTGACTTCTGGGTTAAAATTTCTTAAGAAGGATTAGTAGTTTCCTGACGTGGTAAGGTGTGAGCCATTTGGCTGTTTTGGATCGCATTAATTGGTTTTCACAATCTGGTTGACTCACTAAGTTAAACCTATGTCGGCAGCTGTCCTGATTTTCTGAGATATTTGGCATAGGACCGAGATGGCGGATTTTAACACTTTTACGGTACTTGCTGATCTCGGGTCAGCCATCTACTCGAGTAACATACCAGTAAACCTATCAGCCACTGGTAGTGTAGTATGATCACCATGAAAATACCTTAAAGCAGTTACACCCTCGGTGAGATTGCACCCACAGCCAGATTATTTAGTAACAAACCAGTAATCGTGGGCAGAAAATTTCTTTTAAAGGAAAGAATCTTGCCACGGGTGCAATCTCGGCGTGGGTATGGCCACTTTAGTACTGGGCGGTGTTGTCATGTACCAGAGACACGAGCACAACATGATGGGTTACCGCAAGGGGGTATGGTACCGGGGGGTAGGACAACCAAGAAATATGTGTATTTTGAAGTGGGTGTGGTAGAGCTGGATTCAATAAACTAATTGGCAGAAATGATCAGTAGTTATGAATAGATATTGTCATTTGGCACCACTCGCTTCTATTTGGGAAGTCCAAATTCTGAGTTGGGATTTCCAGTCCCTTGGCGTCAAAGGATATGAACTGTTATGGGGTCGAGACTCCAAAGCATATGAGTCACCTCACCTTAGATCTCTGGTGGTGTCAAAAGTGACGGAGATGCCGCTCCTCACTAGCGATCACTCATTGTCAAGTCAGTGTTTCAGCAGTCCACCTACATCACCCCTTAAACACCGCTATAAAATCCGATATCACACCGTCTCCTTGACTCTCCGGACCCCGCTTTTTGCCTTCTGGTTTTATAGCGGGGAGAGCGTAGAGTGGGGGTATGGCAGTTACTGTAATCCATTTTCTTTTACCATGATTAAGTCAATATGGCGGATCCAACGGGGAGAGTCACATCTGATATAAAAAGTGATAGGAACGATACCAAACACCCTGAATAGGCCTATAAGCGAAAGCCGATATAGATGTAGTAGCTGATATGTAATGGGCAGCGAATTATTCAGGCGGTTTTGAGATGAGAATTCTGGACCCGGGACGGGCTTGTGGGCTATGCGACTAGGCCCCACGAGGTTTCGCTCTATCTAGTTTAGTGGGGGAGAAGTCGATATTTTCCAACCGGAACGTGGTGTATTGACCAATTACACCACAAGACCTTGTTTATACATGGGCCTCGTGCCGTGGTTTGGGCTTGACGGAGCCTGTTCTGTATCTTGATATGATAACCAAGATACCAGACCCCGAACACGGTCTACAAGCACCCCGATAACCTGCTCTACCCCATCCCACCCAACAGATATAGTAGCCTTGCCTATCACACATGTGGATGGGCCAAGAAAGGAATAAAAGGGTTTAACGCGAATATTCCAAACCCATTCAACAGCCCTTATGACTGTGCGCAAACAGCACACCCAGCAATTCCGCTTCACCCAACCCTTTGCGGGAATTAACTCTGGGGTATTTGGAAGATTCATTTCCCGGAAAAGCAAAAATAAAGATCGTCGGTTTTGTTAGGCCCCAATGTTTCAAGCTTGGCTTGGGACGTAATTCGCGAACGGAAAATGGAAATATGGGGGTACGACTCCCAGGTTTTGTAGGCTAAATTTTGCCGGCAAGGGGTGCTGGGCTAGCACGGGTATAGGCTGCAAATTGGGCAATTTCTAGAGCAAGTTACCCAATCCGTGCTGAAATTTACGCTATTTGCGTTAGGAACCCCGGGGCAGCCGAACACATCTGGATTTTTGGAGATATAAACCACTAGAGCTGCACCACCGTACAGGCTAAATTAGGTAAACAAAGCTGGGCTTGGACTAAGAATTTGTTCCTCTTTAGTCCTTGTACCCTCTGAGTACTCGTAGAGACTAGCTAGCAAAACTTTGATACTATAGCGGACCATGGGCGTTATTGGCGAGAGTATTACAGAGCCGTGCGGAATCCTAAAGTAATGGAGCTGCTGTATGCTAATTTTTATGGCCCATCCAGCACGAGTACTGGAAAGAACAAGCATGCACTAGATCAAAATCAAAAAAGAAAGGAAAGGAAGGACTTTGATAGCAACATTTGAGAAGGGAAAGGGGACAGGTATCGGGCCAAGCAGTAGAAAACGGAATAACAGAGCGATCCTTCCTCTGTTTTCATCACAATCTCTCCGATTCCAAATACTGTAGTCCTTCTGCTGCATAAAAATGGTCGGAAAAGGGTTCACACTCGTTGTTGAAAACTCGGTGTTGGTTGGTTTTTTTTTCACAATCTCGCTAGTACGGTAGATGTAGAAGAGTCCCCGGAAAAAGGTACTCATGCATCTTTGCCAAGAATACCTCCGTGGGCCGATTATTTGGTGAGGACCTCAGCAAAATATCGGCTGGCGGAGGTATTCTTGGCAAAGACGAGTGAGTAGAAGACCCTTACAAACACTTCGGCACCCTTTGCTTAGACAAAAAAAGACGAGTCCCCTGCAACAGCCTCAAATACCACGAAGCCCTAAGCAAACAAACAGGTACAGGATACATCGTTCAAGGCATTTTGAAGTAAAGGGAAAAAAGTAAATAGAAAAAGTAAAGAGAAAAAGTAAAGAGAAAAAAGTAAAGAGAAAAAAGTAAAGAGAAAAAAGTAAAGAGAAAAAAACTTCTGCAAACATTTCCCTCCACAGTACTCGGGTGCCGGTGGATGTGCCGAAAGTCTAAGGTAATGTCATACTCACACAAATACTACATACGCTAAGGTGATAAGCCGCCAAGCCACGCCTAAAATCCTCTAACC